TAAAATTAGCTGACAAGTTTTATAAACAGGAGTTTTCACATAAGAATTCAGGTTCTTCAGACCTTCCAGAGACCCAGGACCACCTGTTCTGTGTGGCAGCCCTCCCCTGGGCCCTAGTACTGGCTGCCCCTTCCAGTTAGGAATGCTGCCATTCACTAGTCTCCACCACTCCCTGGTATCCCCAACCTAGAGTTCCCACATCAGTTGCCTTGAGTCACCCCACTGGTAGTGTTGACGACCTCATGCCCAGCCATGGTATACCCTACTTCAGATATGCATGGGAGATTCTTGGTGGTGGTGAAAGTGCTAACTCTGGCAGCAGAGGGCACTATGACAGTGCACAAGAAATGCACCAAAAGCAACCTCCTAGTTGCCTAAAACTAGAGGCTCCTTACTAGCCTGAGGAGGGCAGGTGCACAGGGTCTGAGCTAGCTGTTGTCTGTGCTTCCTCCATCAGCTTAAACAATGAGGGAAGTGGGTATCTTCTGTTAGGAAATGGACCTAAAGTTTCCATTTAAGTAGTGCTGGGCTATGTCCACATTATTCATTTATAATTTGCTCATTAATTCAAGCATGCATTCAGCAAGCATTTACTAAATTCTTGCTGCATGCTTAACACTGGGCCAGGCCCTGTCCCTAGCTACCCAGAATTTTAATGTGATTAGAAGACAAGATAAAAAAATCATGCCTCTCCTGTGTGCTATCACTCATTCACCATGCTCTCCCAGCATCTAGCATTAGTGTCTGGCACACAGTAGATACTAAACCAATGTGTGTTGCATGAATGTATGAAAAGATAACTCATGTGGCACTCATAAATCCCACCAAGATGCCATTGAAACCTGAAGTGGGTACTTATTTACTGAGCTCTTCCTAACTTTTCATGGACTGTTACAATCCTCAGGGCAGGACCTGTTATTACCCTACTTTACTGGTAAGGAAAATGAGACACAGGGTATGTTGCCTACAGCCAAACAGCCAGTCTGAACTCTTGTTTTGTTTCAATTCTTTCTTCTTTTTATTGTGGTGTTCCCATACTTGAATATGCCATACTTTGATCAAATTCACCCCCTCTATTACTCTTTCTTATCCCCCCACCCCCAGTCTGAACTCTTAACCACTATTGCATGTGCTGCCTCAGAATGCAAGGCAGAATGTGCTCAGGGATAAGGCTTAGCACACATAGGGGCTGCCCTGTGTTTGTGAAAGGTAGAACATACAGGAAGAGCCTGGGCCTGAGGGAAGACCCCAGTGAGGGTCTTCTTATTCCTGAAGATCAGACAAAAGGACTGGTTGAGGACAGGAGAAATATCTTCCCTGGTGGAGGGAGAGAGACTGTGGTGAACAAGAGGTCAAGGGAAGTACCCAAAGTAGGTCCTACATGGGTGCTTCCTGGGGCAAGGGATGGGGATGACAGTAAGGAAAGCCAATGATCCAGCAAATGCAAGCAGGTCCTCTATACCAAGCCCTGGCTGCGTACATGGGAGGAGATGAGCATGAATAAGAACCTCTACAGCCAATTGTCAGAAGCAAAATATGCAAATAACTTTACTCTGGGAAAGCAGGTGTGGAGGGCCAGAAGTGGTGCAGGGGAAATTGTCTAGGAGGAAAAGATTTTTTCCCAAAGGGAGGACAGAAAAGGCTTCCTGGACAAGGCAGCATTTTTACTGAGTCATGAAGGTTGGGTAGGACTTCACCCAACAGAGTGTGGGCCTAGTGGGCCCACAGAGGAGAAGGGGTGAAGGGAAAGCTGACCAGACAAACAGGACTGGTGCCCAGAGGGCTTGTGTGCTGGGCTAAATCATCTCAGCTTGCTCCATGAAGAATGGGGAGACACTATCATTTGTAGCAAAAGAGGGACTATTTTGCCTACCAGGACACTATATAAAGCAGCTGTATTCAATCCTAAATTTCATACGGAAACACAAAACCCCCTAAAAGCCAAAGCAATTCTGACCAAAAAAAAACTAGAGTTGGGGGTATCATATGCCTCCTCTCAAATTACACTACAAACCCATTGTAACAAAAAACAGCACGGTACTAGTGCAGAAACAGAGACATACACTAATGGAGTAGAAGAGAAAACCCAGAAATCAGCCCATACAGCTACAAACAAAGGTGTCAAAAACATAAGTTGGAGAAATGACGCTGGGAAAACTGAATGTCCACATGTCAAAGACTGAAACTAGATCCCTGTCTCTCACCATGTACAAAAGTCAATTAAAAATGGGTCATGTTTTCTCTCATATGTGGAATATAGACCTAATATAAACACAGGCAATATTATGAAAACAGGCCACTCTAAGGGGAGGTCACATATGAGAGGGGGAGGGTAAAAAGAAGGAAGTTAAGAAGGTGACTATGGTCGATGTTCTTCCTATAAAGAATGAATATAGAATTCTGAAAACTTGTTGAAATCACCACAAGAAGAGGAGTAAGGTAGAAAGAACAAAAATAGAGGAGACAAACCAATTTGGATTATAATACATATATACATGGAAATGTCACAAGGAAATTCCCTTTATAGGTATTCTAAACTAACAAAAATGTCATTTTTTATTTTACAAAGTCAGAGAACAGGAAGACAGAACAGGTCCTGTCTGGGGAGGCTGGTACCAGTGGGAGGGGGACGGATGTGGGGAAAGGGTGTAGAAGGGTGAATATGATACAAATCCTGTGTACACATGTATGTAGATGGAAAAATAAGACCTGTTGAAACTATTCCAGGAGTGGGGGGAGGAGAGATATAGGAAAATGATGGAAAGGGTGAATTCAAGTATGATATATTTGATATATTGAAAGAACGTTTGTAGATGCCACAAAATACCCCCAGTACAAAAAAATATATATAAATAAATTTTTTAATGGATCAAGGGCCAGGAATGGTGGCTTAAGTCTGTAATTCTAACTATTCAACAGGTTGAGATTGAGGAGGACAGCAGTTTAAGGTCAGCCCATTTAAACCAATGGCTGGGCACGGTGGCATGCACCTATCTTCCCATCTACACAGAGAAGTGCTAATAGGAGGATCATAGTCCAGACCAGCCTGGGCATAAAACAAGATCCTATCTCGAAATGACCAAATGCAACTGGTGGAGTGGCTCAAGTGGTAGAGCGCCTCTCTAGCAAGCACTGAGGCCCTGAATTCAAACCTCAGTATCTCCAAAAAAATAAGTAACCAATGCAAAAAAAGTGGTAGAGCACCTGCTTAGTAAATATAAGGCCCTGAGTTCAACCCCTGATACTGCCCAAAAAAATGGATCAAAGACCTTAATGTAAGAGCTGAAATTTTAAAATTGCTAAAGGAAAACATGGCAGAAACATCACAAGATATTAGGCATGGGCAACAATTTCTGAATAGAGGTCCAATAGCTCAGGAAATAATAACAAGAATTGACAAACGGAATTGCATCAAATTAAAAACCTTCTGCACAGGAAAGAAAACAATTATCAGAGGGAGAGACAGCCTACAGAAAATCTTTGCCAGTTTCATCTGACAGGGGATTAATATCCAGAATACATATAGAAATTTTAAAAAATTATACACTAAAATAATGAATATTCCAATTAATAAGTAGGCAAATGAATTGAATAGATACTTTCCAAATGGAAAAGTACAAGTGACCAATATATGATGAAAAAGTCTTTAGCCCTCAAGAAGATGTAAATCAAAATTACATTGAGATTCCATCTCACCTGAGTCAGATTGGCCATCATCAAGAAAACAAACACCAACAAATGCTGGTGAGGATGTTGGGAGGTGGGGGGAAGGGGACTGTTGGTGGGAATGTAAATTAGTGCAGTCACTATGGAAATCAGTATACGAGTTCCTCAAAAACTTAAAAATAGAACTTCAATATTATTTAGCTATACCACTCCTGGTATATACCGAAAAGAATCAAAGTCAGTATACAATAGAAATTCCTGCACACTATTCCCTATAGCCAAGTTATGGAACCAGTCTAGGTGACAATCTTTATCCATGAATAGAATATATATATATACACAATAGAGTTTTATTCAAACATAAAGAAGAAAAATTATGTCATTTGCAGGAAAATGGTTGGAACTGAAGATCATTATGTTAAGCAAAATAAGCCAGACTCAGAAATACAAGTGTCATATGGTTTCTTTCATATGTGGACTTTTTTGGAGGGAAGGGCAAGAAAGTAGAACGGGGACTATTAGGGATGTGGAAGGGTAAAAGGAGGAAGAAGAGAGGGAATAAGCATAACGGGAGGGGTGAATATGCTTAAAGAGCACTATATACATGTATGAAAGTGTCACAATGAAACCCATTACTTTGTACAATTGGTATATTCTAATAACCATATTTTAAAAAATAAAAGCACAGCTGTCTTCTAGGTTCCTGGAGGACTAGAGTTTGAGTTGGGAGCAGGACTTAGAAGAGTGATGCTAAGAGATGCTGGGAACACCTTGACCCTGACAATCTCTCACAAAGACTGCAAAAAGTTGGTAAAACCAGAATTTCCCTCAACCAGGAACCAGGATATCTGAGTCCAGTTCCTGCTATGTCACCAATTAACTATGTGACCTTGTCAGGTCCCTCTATGGGCATCAAATTTTTCATCTATGAGGCAAAACATCTGATCACTTCTGAGAATCCTTCCAACCTGATCTACACCCTACAAATCTAAGAACCCCATGGCAAGACCTAGCCTTCCTAAGAGCACTTATCACCAGGCAAGCACAGGGGAGTCCATGAATAGAAGGAATAGACTGCCCACATGGGGTAAGCAGAATGGGTCCTCAGCCAGCCTCTGACTGTCACAGTATGCATCACAGTAGGCGTGAAGAGATCAGGGGAATGGCAGTCTGTCTTGCTGGCTTGTTCAGGAAGAGCAAGGGTTGGGTGGAAGGGAAGTGAAAAAACCAACCAGCTTCCTCCAAAACCAACTCCAGGCCCAGGGCTGGGAATTTCACAAAAAAAGCAAAAAGCACTATGTGAACATTTCCTGCCCTGCCCTGCCCAAGCCTCCTCCCTGGCAGTGTTACCACACTGCTCAACTATGAAGCAACCTTTCCCAGAGAGGGCCTATAAAATGGCTGCCTGTAAAGGCCAGGCCAACACTGCTCTTCCAAACGCTCTGTGTGGCTCCTTGACTTCGGTAAGTGAGCTGCCAGCTTTTCTGGGCAGACACCTGCCAGTTCTTTCTTTTCTCCCTGCCACCTAACTTTCTTCCAAACCCTCTGCCTAGACAACCTCTTTGGTTGAACCTACTCACTTTATAGCTTCCTTCACATTTTCTTTGAGCCTTGTACCCTCAAATGCTTTGCTTTCAGGCATTCTCTAAATGGTCTAACATTCATTGTTATGTAATAAGCTGTCTCCACTTTAAGTGACAGCCTGTGCTTTCTTTTTATTTTGTTAATCCCCTCCCCTTCCTTCCTGCCAGTGGCAGGCAGCCATATTAAGGAAACTTGACAGTTCATTCTAAGTGCCCCAATCCTGGTTTCTCTATTATTCAGATAGAGTGCAAGAAGATGGCAAACCAAAAGTCACAACTGGAACGCAGCATAGACACCATCATCAACGTTTACCACCACTACTCTGTACGGCAGGGGAATGCAGACACTCTGAACAAAAAGGAATTCAAAGAAATGGCAAAAAAAGAGCTGCCAAACTTCCTCAAGGTAGGACTTGGTTAAGGAGGGAGGAGGGTGCAGTACACAGCAGTCAAGGAGAAAATTCCAGCTCCTTTTTCCTAGTAGCAGCTGGTGCTCTCTCACTAGAGGTGATCAAAATTAGAAGCACCAACAGTCAAGAAATTGTTCAGTTGAACATCTGCCATGTGTGAGGCCCTGTTCTTAGCACAAGGACATAGTACTAACAGGGAACCCGCTCTCCCAATGGGAGAGACACACAGGTCATGAACACAGATAAATCAAATGGGCCTAAGGGCTTTGAAGAGAATATGATGGAGTCCTGTAGTGAGCTGGGCTGGTTGAGGCAGAGATAATGCATAGGGTAGACAAGAGGAGGTAACAATTGAGCTGAGACCTGGTTGTTGGGAAGGGAAGCACTTGAGAACCACCCTTGCCAGTAAAATGAGTAACTAAGCTTCAGCTAAAAACTACAGATAGACCTGGAGGGTTTTTCATATCTTTAGGGTCTAGGGTAGAAAATAGAGAAATAAAGAACATGTGGAAAGGGCCCCACACAACACTATTATGTACAAAGTACTCTGTCAAGTGTTAGTGTTTTCCCCTGGTTAGAAATGATTAGAAGGGTGAGATACATGAGTCCCAGTCTCAGTTCCATTCCCAAAGCTGGTCATCAGGGGTTACACATCCAGCCCTGCCTGGAGCCATTCTCTGGCACTTATAAGGTAAAGAATTGCCACTCTGGGTGGTTTTAGGGACACCAACAGCTCCTTATAGGTTGAGTTCTCTAAGCAAGCAGGGTCCTGGGACAGAATAGACAAAGAGGTCTACAAGAGACTGTATGGGCAAGGTTCTTCTCTGCATGACCCCTACATGTGTCCTACCCCACACCCCAATGTCCCCTTCCAGAAATAGAGTGATGGGCCAGAAAGGAAAGCCCCTTGACAATGAGCCACTCAGTTTCTGGGAGGGGGCTTAACTGAGGCACTCCACCCAGTGGTTGGCAGAGCTGGAGCTAGTTGGTGTTCTCTGCCCCACCTAGATCCTCTGACCTCAACTGATGCTTCCCTTCACATACTTTATCACATCCTTTGGGGTTATGAGAGCACCTGCACTGCTTTCTACCCCATCCCAAGGTCCCAACACTCTTATTTCACCATTATGACTCTAGAATGAGCTTCATTCACTGTCTAGGCATTTCCAGGGCAAAGGGAAGGGAGGGAGTGACTGAGAAGAATGGAGGACATGGGACAGACAGAGCTATAGGTCAGAAATGAATTTGCATCTCTATTCCTTTGCTTCCAAGCCTCCTCAGCCAGTTTATATGAAAGTTATTAACCAGTTTATACAACTTGGTTTCCTCTGGTTGTCCTCAAGGAAGACACCATTTCTACATGTTAAATTTGTTATAAGGAACAAATAAGCAGACAGTTCCGTACTTACTAATTATTTGAACTTCTTCTGTAAAATAGTCATGGTAGCCAAGTTATAGGGCTATTAGGGAAATAAATTTGAAAGTGTTTAGAATATGCTTCATTGTGGGCACTCAATCATATCATCACTTTAAATTCTTAAATTCAACTCCAGGGGCCTGGCTTCCCTATGCATTTGCTATTCAGTTATTCATTGTGTTCCCTGGTCCCTACTTCTGTCCACACCTGTTCCTAACAATTCTTTTCTCCCATCCACAGAAGGAGAATAGGGATGAAAAAATCATAGAAGACATCATGGAGGACCTGGACACAAACCAGGACCAGCAGCTGAACTTTGAGGAGTTTGTGATCCTAGTAGCAAGGCTGACCAATGCCTCCCATGAGGAGATGCACAAGAATGCTCATGGAGAAGGCCACAGCCATGGGCCAGGCCTTGGGGGAGGTAGCTGTGGCCGTGGGTCAGGCCCTGGGGAGGGTGGCCATGGTCACGGCCATGGTCATGGCCATGGTCACAGCCACTAAACAGGGCCCAAGCCATCCAGTACTTGCCCAACCAAGGCCACAGGGAATGTCATGTCATACCGCCTTAGCTGTGAGGATTGGGGTTGGAGAGAAATAAAATCTTATTCCATGCCAGTGTTCTACGTGCTTCTTCTGTCCCTTTCCCAACTTGTTCTTCCCGAGGGTCTAAGCACTGGACAGCCTTGTTCTTGTCTTCAGCTTAACCCCTCCATTTGATCATAACAAAATGATAACCAGCAACATGTGTATCTGTTCTGAGCCTCTAGTGCACATAGGCCTCACTGATCAGGTCCTAGTCATGCTGACTAGTCCGTCAACATGGCCCCTGTCACTGCAGCAAGCAAGGACAGTATATCTCTTCCCCTCAACATTCCAGCCACTTCCCCACCTGGACCCAGTAGCTCTTCTCCCATCACTGTCCATACAGTCACCTCTGTCTTACTAAAACTTGTTTTTTCTGGAAATCTTTAAGAGATGAGCCTAGAGAGTGCCATGTCTGGGGACGGAAACTGGAGGGCAAGCAGTAGCAACAAGGGTAAATTAGGTGTTATTACCTGTAAACTTATCTAAGGGACCTAGTATCCTAAATGTGGATGCTGGCAGGGAACAGAGGGTACTCATATAGGTGGAAGTGGTAGTTAGCCCCTTGTCCACCCCAGCCCCAACAGGGTGGTGGAGTGAAAAGACCACCACATAGCCACCAAAGAAATGGGTGCTATAGCTAAAGGCTCCATGAGTCTTGTGAGGAGCTTGGGTTCTGAGTCCAGAAAGCCTCTCTGCCTGAACCCTCTGGTTTTAAACCTCAAGGGCCAGTTCATCTTCCCAGGGTGATGGTGATTCCTCTAGTCCATGGCCAGCTTATCTTTCTAGGGTATTGGAGATTCCTCTAATGTGAGCTCAGAACTCAAGCTAATGGGAGCATTTATCTGCTCCTCTGAAAAATCTTTGACCAGCTTGACTCCAGTTTCCCCAGGACTCATGTCTCACACAGCCTCCAGATCCAAGAGCCTACCTACCTACAAGTGACTCCTCTTTCATCTCCCTACCCTCTGACCATAAAGTCCCTGCTCAGGTTATAACTATCTGGCAATCACAGTGGTGTGAGGGAGTTTCCGATAATCTGAGTCCAGATCAGGGTCCTCTGTACCCCTCCATTCTTTTAGTAGAGAGAAGAATCATGGAAGTAGGATTTGGGGAAGCTTCAGAAAGACTACGATGAAGTAAAGAATACTTCATCGGTTTCTTGAAGTATTGAGCAGAAAGTAGAAAAGTCCAATGTCACGTAGATTTGATCAAGATAGCAAATGAAAAAGGGAGCTTGAAATCCATCTGTTCCAATGTCCAGATCTCCCAGCTTCTTCCCCAAGGCTGAGCACGAAAAGGTGGAACCCCTACATCAGATTTCTGCTCGAAATTGTCCCCTCCTCTGCGGTGTGAGCATTGAAAGGCCCAGAAACTAACTATTCTATGCCATGAGCTTGATAACAGAGTTTAGAAACCCTCATCAGCCCTTCAGCAGTGCCTCATTTGGAGATCTGGCAGCTTATACATTTATCCACCCCATACCCACATCCAGGGAGGCATCACCATCTTTATCCCCTTCTGCATCAGATTGGAGCAGAGGAAAGAGACGCATCCTGGGAGCCAGGAAGCCCAAATTCTGGTGCTGGCCTTGCCAGAACCCTATGCTTAAGGCAGGGTAGGTAGGGGCTTCCCCCATCCCCTCTACCACCATTACTTATCACATGTGCTGTAAATATGTCTGTGACTCTGTCTCCCACACTAGACCATGAACTCCTCAAGGGCAGACTCTATGCCTCTGTCTTATCCTCAGCTTTACTCCCAGACCTAGAGTGGAGTCTGGTACAAAGTAGGCTCACAACAAATATTGACTATAAAAATGTTCAAAAATTTCTCACATGCTCCATGCTTTCTTCTCAGGAGAAGGTGTGGGGAAAAGAGAAGGAGAGTTGGATTAAAAACATACAAATGGAAGCCTTCTGAATGATCACGATAGACTTTTAAATCTGAGTTAAGGGGCAGCAGGCTTGTGGAACTCTAAAGGCTCCTCCCCCACTTTGTTTAGTCAGACCATTCTTGCTTTTATGTCACATACACTGGAAGTTCGGATTTAAAGACAGATTTGCTATGAAAAATGTTTGAAAACTATTGATTCAGTATAAATTGTCCCATCCCTACCCTTGAATGATTCTCCCCAACATCACTGCCGTGTGGTTGAACCAACCCTACCCAAATTCTTCCAGGAAAGGGAGTGTCCTCCTTTGACACTGACATTCAGAACATTCATTACACTCAGCCAAAATCTGTCTCCTCATGCCTGCCAGGCATTAATCCTAATTATCTTCTCAACTCTAGGAACACAGAATAAATCTAATCCTTTGTGCTCACTTTAGCAGCACATACACAAAAATCTAATCCTTTACAATCCTTCCTTCCATCCATGCATTCACCCATCCAATTCTTAAAACTGTCTCTCTAAATGGTAATCAAGCCTCTCTCCAGCCTCTTCTCCTTTGGGCAGGAATTCTCTTCTCATCCTGGTGTCTCTAGTGTGTCCCCTAGGATCCATCAAGTCTCAGCCAGTATCTCTGCCTCCATGAAAATGTCCTCCACCCTTCTCAAGAACATATGACCTTCCTCCCACAGTCCTACAGAACTCTGATATTTCTACCTTGCACTTCAAACACTGCATTGTAAACCCTCATCTGCAAGTCTGACTATGAGGTTCTGAAAGCCTGGACTATGTTGACCTGCTCTACATCCCATATTACAGCATGGAACAAGTTCTCATTGAGTATTATGGATGAAAAAGCCAAGGAAGGATAGGCCTGTGGCCCTGTGGGACTGGAGAAAAAGCTTAGGTGGTGAGTATGTGGTGAGGAAATTGAGTGTGCCAGCTGTCTGGAGATTTGGAAGCTGGAAAAGGACAGAGAAGATGAATCTTCTTTGGTGCCAAGAGTGCTTTCTCTGTGAACTTATTGTGAGTATAGCAGATTGTTCTAGAAACAATCTAGAACTTGCTAGAACAATTGTCCTAGCAAGCCAGTTTTACAGAGGTCCCATAGTATTTTCTTTAAACATAGTTTAACAGAACTGGCTAGAGTGATTTAGCCCCTTCTTTTCGACTTGCCCCTTCCATTAAAAAACTGGTCTATTGAGTAAAACAGAGATAGAGAACAAGAATGTCATTGTAAAGGTTAAGATTCCCATCCCACAAGAGAATTGGAGACAACCTGCATGGTTAACAACTCCTTTTGGGAAATAGGAAGTTTGGGGTTTTCCCCAGCATCATAGTGACTAAAGGACGGAGAAGAGCCTGTCATCAGATGATTGTCCCCCAGTTCCTATAAGGGGAAGTCTGGAATTTAGCAGTGGAACCTGAAATTCTGGATGTCTTTCTGAGAAGAATGAGGATCAAATGCAGTCTCAGCTTCTAGACTCTGCCCAGACACATAACAGCTCTGAATGTGCTCTAGGGTCTGGGTGGTGTAAAATTGCTCTAGAATTTGGGAGATAAATTAATTTCCTGTCCATTCACTTATTTGCCCACTCATTCACTTGACAGTCATTAACTGTACACTTACTTTATGATGGGCATTGCACAATGTGCCAAAGAGCCACTGTAGTTATTAAGGTTCTGTCCCATTGTCCAGGAGCTCCTAGCCTGTGGGGGAGATGAGACAGCTCCTAAAATCATTCTAATATGGAAAATGAAAGGCCTGGGAGGAGTGAAGTTAGGTGAGATTTTGAGGTGGGAATGACATCCTTCAGGAAGGGCTGTCTTCCTAGAGTGGTGAGATCTGGGTGGCATTGAGGCTGAGAGATGCAGACATCCTGGTACAATTATGAAGATCTTCAGAGCAAGAACACATGTACAATGGTGTGGAAGTAGCAGATGTGGGTTGAGCAGGAATGAGGAGCACTGGGAGTCTGAGGGAGAGAGGTAACATCTACAGCTGAGAACAGGGTAACTACTGAACCAAGGTGCTCACCTCTTGCTCAGTGAAGCAAAGGGAAGACACAGTGAAGACTTCGGGAAGGGAAGTGATATTATCTTATCTGTACTTTATAAAAGTCTTTCTACCTGAGGTTTATGGCATATATTTGGGGTGGGAGCAAGACTAGAGGCACATAGTATGTTAGGAGGCCATCACTATAGTCCAGGGGACAACTGAGCAGAGCCTGCAGTGGTACTTTTCAGGATTTCAGACTATCCAGGCTCTACCTCAGTTAGGCAAGGTACGACTCGCAACCCCTATGGGACAAATAAGGCACTGTAATTTTTGTGCTGTTTGCCAAGATCTTGCTAGGAAGAGGCTTCTGCTTTCACCAACCCAGTGAGGCAATCTTACACAACCCTGACACAGTCCCTGATCTGAAGTAAACTTCAGAACCCAGCCTCAGGGGTCCACCTTCTTCCAGAAGTTGCTTAAAATGTATGTTTTAGAAAGCCCTGTGTCATGGATTTTGACATTTCAATTACCAAGTTGACAACACTGAAACAGCTGGTTACTCAACTCCTGTTGCCTCTTGGAAGTCAGACCTGACAAGTAACTCTGTCCCAACATTCAGGTCAGCTCTCTAGCCCAACTGGACCCCCACCCTGTCTTCTAAGATACCCCCACAAGAGACAGGGAAATGAGACTCAGCAGGGAGACTGCTGGTCTCTCCCAGTTTTTTCCTTTCACTGTGGGTTCTCCTACTTTTGCCCACATACCAGATTTGTCACATGCAGATCTTATAATGAGTGAAGGGATTGTTACCAAGAGCTGAGGTGAGAGAGAAAAGAAGGTACACAGGCAGCCACAGCAGGAGTACAGGATTGCAGTCTGCAGCCTGGGGTAGCCCCAACTCAGTGTGAGTCTGTTCCTCCCCCACAATGTCCGCAGCCTCTCTCCCCATTTCTTCTTGACCTGCCTCTCTCTTTTCTCCTTTGAATTCTTCTTAATTTTCTCTGTGCTCTTCTTACTCACTGCTTTCTACCCTCTGTACTCAGTGGTGAGATGCAGCCCTGTGTCACTAGGATTCCTGGGTGGGGTCCATTTGTGAAGTAACTAGGACCATAGCTAATCAGAGACAATTCCTTCAAACTA